AGATGACGCGGAGGAGCTGCAGAGAGTCGGAAGAACCCCGAAAGTAACCAAAAAAGATCGAACTAAAAAAAATTGACCAGGTTGCCTAAACAAAATCGGAAAACTACAATAGGCAAAAATTTTATTTCCCTTCCAAACTCTGCATTTGTGAACTGTGAGCGAATTCCGCAACAGGCCAAAATCTGATTTGTCGCGGAATCCGCTTTTTTGCAGTTTTCCTCGACTTCTTTGCTGTTTTAGATTCCATGGACAAATAGCTAAAACACTGTATTGCTCAAAAATACTCCAAAAACAGGCAAATTTGCGAATTCCGCAACAAAAATTGTGGAATCCGCAACAAATTTTGCAGAATCCGTAATGCTTCGTGGAAACCATGAACAAATAGTAATATAGGTTTAGTAAACTTAAGCTGTCGTGGATTCCGCAAATTATAAGCGGAAACGGCAAATTGTAAGCGGAATCCGCACATATTAGCGGAATTTGCTTACATTTGTGGAAACCGAAACAATTTTCTATATTCGCTCGTTACATACGGAATCCGCAAAAAAAATAATGTGCCGAAAAAATGTACGGTACAAGTATTTGTACGCGGAATCCACCTACATTTTAGCACATGTTTAAAAAGTTAATCCAAAAACAGACATGCACAAAATTGTGTGCCTATCCAGTGCTCAGTTTGGCCTCCTAATGTCATAAATTGAGACTCAGTCGGAAGTTCGCTCCGGCAGTAAGCACAACAATGTGACATTCGATAGAAATGGAGTCCTGAAACTTTTGATATAAGTGGTTTTCAAAGTAGTTCAGGCAACTTCCAGGTTTTTTTTTCAGCTCGATCAAATTGCCATTTCAATTAAATGACGAAAAAAAGAACTTTTGCGATCACTTTTTTGCGTCTCTGTTAAAAGCGATCATTTCAAAAAAGAGTAGAGGGTTGCTGTATACGTAGCTCAGGATATTCAGTTTTCCAAAATAAGTTTTTTTTTGTGCCTGGGAAAGTCAGTCCAGAGTGAAGCCCAACACAAAAAAAGAAACATGCTCATGAAAAAAAAAACAAATTTCATGAGCATGTTT